CAAAGCCACACCACTAGTGCTTGGCTAACAAATCAATAAACAGATGAGCCATATTAATTTTTAATATGCGGCAGAGTGTAGAGGGGGCAAAGGCTGGTGTTTGCAGATCAGGCAGGTTTTGGCTCAGATACCTGGTCTGCAGTGGAACACTAAGCCCTGAGCATTATAGCTAACTGCTTGTGTATGTGCTGTGAGCAGACTGTTTTCAATATATAAATAATTAAATTGTGCAATGTATAAACAAACGAATATAAACCAATATTTCACATTTATAAATATTTGTCTTATTACTTTTTTTTTTTTAAAGACACTACTTCTCTGAGATCTGAAATGTCCATCATACGGGCTCTGAGAAGATGCATAGAATTGATCCATCCATCCATTTTCTATACTGCTTATCCTGCTGGATTGTTGGGAACCTTGAGCCTATCCCAGTTAGCATGGGGCATAAGGTGGGGGAAACCCTAGACAGGCTGCCAATCCATCACATACACATTCACACACCCATTCCTAAATTACGGACATTTTGAACAATCCAATCAGTCTACCGTGCATGTGTTTGGACTGGTGGAGAAAACAGGAGTACCCGGAGGAAAATGCAAACTCCACACACACACAGTGCAGTGGCAGGAATCAAACCCTCAACCCTGGAGGTGTGAGGCAAACATGCTAACCACTAAGCCACTGTGTGTCTGCATTGAAGTGATTTGATTGTTTATTCCTAATTTAGCATGCTTGCTTTTGGTGTAAATGTAATTTTGCATAAATTTGTATGGAAAATAATTTTGCCTGTTGTATATGAAATACTGAAGCCATTAAGGAAGGACAAATATCATAATGCCCATGATATGCATCTTTATACCTGCTATTTCAGGTGCATGGCGGCTTAGTGGTGTCCATAGTATGTGAATGTGTATGTAATTGTGCCCTGTGATGGACTGGCACCCTGTTCAGGGTGTACTCTGCCTTGACCCCGATAGGCTCTAGGTTCCCCACGACCCTGTAGGATCAGCGGTATAGAAGATAGATGGGTGGATTGTCCACCTGCAATTTCTTTTTGTATCAGATCTATTTTCCTACATTACACAAAGGGTTACTTATTAAACACATTTGTTCATCATAAGTTGTCTGTGATTCACGTATAATCATTGAATGATTTAAATAGCAAATCCATCACACTTGCTTGTTCATTCTGTTATATGTCCTGTCTAAGGCAAGTGAATTAAAAGGTTTAACATACAAAGGTTGTTTATATTGTGTCGAGACAGTGAAGGCAATAAAGAATAGGAGTATAAGGTATAAGAGAGTTTAAGGTGTCATGTTTTGTTTGTTGGCATGGGCACATTCCATTGTTCTTGAATCAGGTACATTGATTTAAACGATTTACCAAAATAAGGTAAGTGTCTATTGTTGATTATGCTTTAAATGCTATTGAGGTAAACTATGCTAAGAGAGTGCCTAATTACAAACACCGAGCATTGCAATGGCAATGGCTGCCCTTCATTTTTGGCAGAGCTACTAAGGGAAGGGTCATTTTGGGGCTAAAAAAAAAGCTGATATTTATTTGTGAATTGATCGGATAGATCTGGCTGGTTGAAAAGACCCAGATCTCTCATAATCATTAGCTTATGAATGCACTAATCACGTATAATTCATATAGTGCCTTGTGACATGATCTTAGAATAAATAAACAACTGCAACTCCAGCTAGAGGAGGCCATACTCCAAACATGATGTGATCGAGTAACTCTCAAGGTGCTAGAGGGATCAACAGCTGAGAAGAGGAAAGCTGTTTAAACAAGACACCCCAGGAAGCTGGGCATTATGAAAGAGAAGAGAGACGTATGAAATCCTATTTCACCAAAGTTTGCCAAAAGACATGTTGGTGGTAGCACAATAATTGTAGCATCATAGTGTGCATAACCCTTACTCACTTTCTTACTTCTTACTGACTTTTGCTGGTCACATTGTTAATAATAGTAGGATATATATATATATATATATATATATATATATATATATATATATATATATATATATATATATATATATATATGCATTTTATAACCAAACCCTGACTGATACTTATCCAGACTTTATTGTTCCAGACTTGTTTTGATATATCCTTGGTCTTCGTAACGCTGACTGTTTGGGTATGTTCTCTAACAAACTCTGGGGACTTCCATTAACAGGTTATTTATACTGAGAATATATTACACTTACACTTACACAACACATTACACTTTAATTATTATTACACAGGTGGACTCCGTTCAACTAATTATGTGAATGAAACTAATTGCACCAGAATTAATTTAGGGGTTTCAGGGGAACAGGGTCAATACTTATGCAAGCATAACTTTTATGTTTAAAAAAACAACAACATTTTAAATATTATGGGCTCTTTTGTGCAATTTCTTGACATATATTCCTTAAGTCCAATTAAATGCATTTCAGTTCCACGTTGTAACACTGTACAATGTGGTACATTCAAAGAGGTGAATACTTATGCAAGGTATTGTGTATTTGCCTTTTTGAGAAATACTTTTCTATACACGGAAAGTAGGAAGCAGAGTACTTTGCAAATTAATTCATTTGGGTAATTTTTAATCGTTGTAAACCATGTGTCATTAACTCTTCTTGTATTTTTATAATGAGGATTACTGATGCAGTACAATACTTATACAGCTCTGTAAGCACAGTGGTAATATGATCAAAAAGTGATGGAGTTCAAAGTAATATAACCGCTGTTAATATTGGATCATTTAAAACCAAATTTCCCGATGGCCTCTCACAAATGGACCCAGGAACGTAGAATTTTGCATTTTAAACTATGCTTGTAAAACCTTTCTCTAGAGCTGTCAGTTTAAATGAACCCATCTAACTTATTATCAAAACATTCACGGACCTTCACTTCTCCAGTGCATACCATGTGTTATTAGCTTGGTTGTGAAAAACAACTGCTACAGCTCCTTCAGGAATAGGCAAGGAGAAAGAAATGGAAGAAATAATAAGAGAAAAATAAAGAAGGAGACAATATTGAGCTGAGCTATAGACAGAAGTGAAATGAGAAAGAGTACAGACGTACAACAGGAATGAAAGAAACATAGTGATGTAGATAGTACAAACACCCTAAATTAATTAAACCCAGTAATTAATCACTATTAGCTTTCAGGCTGAGCAAACTGAAACACATTTATTTTACTTTAAAATGTTATCTTAAATTTGTAGATCACCAAAATCCCACAACAACATTAACTAACGAGGGTCGTAACTAATAAATATTGATAATTGATTAATTTATTGATCTGTTTTTTTTCTGATTAATAAATTACTTGGGTTATTTTAAAACAATATTAAACAGCAGGCAAACAAATTGGCTTTATAATTTGATCTTAGTGTGAATTTTGTAATGAATAAATACATACTAGTTCCTTTACATGCATGTTGACTGTCTTGTGATATGTTGTGGTGAGACAGACAATATGTTTACATGGACAACAATAATCCTATATTAACCCGATTAAGACGATACTCTGATTCAGAAACTACCATGTACCAGTGATTACCTTAATCCGAATGAAGTCATACTCTAAATTAAAGCAAATCGAATTAAGACATGTGGAGTATTCCTATTTTAGTTGCATTATCGAAGTGCATTAGTGACTACGTTTACACGGACAGCAATAATCTAATTATTGACCTTATTCTGAATAAGAGGATATTGTGATTAAGGTGTTTACATGAGTTTACATACTATTTTCATGTTCCCGTTTTATATGTTAGAACATATAGAACATAGAGCGATTAACGTCACATGTCATTACGTCCCCACGCCACGCCGTCCGATGTTTCCTCCAGAATTTCACGCTTCAATATATACAGTTCGTCTTCGTTATGGTACTGTATACAGTGTTTTTATTTTTAATTTTAAGAAGTGCAGTTAATTACTTGTTGTGCTATACGTGCTTATAGACGACTGCTTGAAGCTGTGGGCTGCATCCCAAACCGTGTACTTACTTACTATATAGTAGCTGAAATACATGTATCTCGCCTACTATGTAGAAGGTAAGTGCACTGTTTCGGACACAACCATGTTCTCTTGTTTGTCGTCAAATGGTACACACTGCTCTGTGTGTCAGAAAATGCGGTGAAAACTCCCACACGATGTTAATAATGTGATTAAGGGCAAAACCATCTATGTTGACCTTCCTTAAACCATTGTGTGACACTCTTAACAAACAAAAAAGAAATGGAGTCCTTGTTCAGTTTTCTCAATCACCCAAGCCTTTCACATGCAAAGTTTTAACCTTTACAGGGACTTGTGATTTACCTGCAAAAGCATTAGTGTTAAATACTGTTCAGTTCAATGGAAAATTTGGGTGTTTGAAATGTGAACAGTCAGGCAAGACAGTAAAAACTGGAGAAAACGACATGTGTATGATTTTCCTTTTCAAAGGGAAGATCCAAAAGGTCCCGCATGTACTCAAAAGAGAGTCGTTGAAGATGCCAAGTTGTCATTTGGTTCAATAACCATTGTGCATGGCGTTAAAGGTCCCACTTACCTTAGCACATTACATAGTTTTGAATTGGTCTTAGGCACAGTTATTGATTACATGCATTCTGTGCTGCTTACTGTCATGCTACTTTTGATGCTTTTGTGGTTTTCCACAGAATTCTCACGCTGTGCGTTTTTAGTATGGTCAGATCAATTGGTAGACAAACGCATGAGTGAAATTCAACCACCATATGGAACACGTTCTGTTTCTACCCATAGAATGTACTACAAAGCCTTAGAGTACTGGTATATGGAAATATATTTACTGAAAAAAATGTTGACACATTGAATACTTATTTCCCCCACTGTATGTTGTTCTTCTTTGGGCCAGTAGTGTTCAGAGTTATTCTTGCAAACCTGTACTACAAGCACTTTCTGTTGCTATCTGAGTCAATATTCATTCTTCTGTTGGACTTGATAACTTTGTTATATGGCATGACTGTGGCAGTGTGGTTTGGTGGATAAGGCTCAGGGTTACTGATCAGTAGGTTGGGGGTTCAAGCCCCAGCACTGCCAAGCTACTACTGTTGGGTCCTTGAGCAAGGCCCTCTCTGCTCCAGTGGTGCTGTATCATGTGCTCTGACCCTAACATGCTGGAGTATGAAAAGAATTTCACTGTGTATATGTGACCAATAAAGACTCATTATTATTTTTATTATTATATTTGCCATCTTAGGTTATGGTGAGGGAGCAAGGACAGGACCTGAAACATGAGACTACACTTCTTTGTGCTTTGGGGAAGTCATGATAAATGATTCTATATATACCATGTCTCTTTGGTTACCTCTGAAGTTCTCTCTATTTTTTATATAGACAATGATAGTATCTTGACCTGTCCATCAGTTTTTGTTAGATTATGTGTTTGGTCTGATTGGAAAGTTGGTTGAATGCCCAGACTTACATATACAACCTCTGGCTACAGTTCAAAGCATCTGGATGAAATATTGGGATATTTTGAAATTACACAAAATAACCACAAGCCAGTTAATAGTTTAGAAGCACCACAGTGGTACCAATTAATGGTATTCTAGTTTCAAAAGGACATACTTGTCAGTAATCAAATGAATTAATTCCATTTAATTTAAACATGACTGTAGGCCTGCCGACGCCCTTTATACTGAATAGCATACTGCCTGTAAGGCATACAGAGCAGAATCTTAATCTTGCTATCCTAATTGCTCACTTCAGAAACAGTCATACACTTCAAAGCTCTGCCCTCCCGAGAGTCAGCCATTGCAATTACAATTTATATATTCAAGTACATGAAACAACTATGTTCAAAACACCACTGTCTTATGTTATGTTATTTATGAACCTTCTAAAGATTGATGACAACCCCTGTTGTTTTTTTATACTATTGCTGTGAGGCCATACTGTGACAAAGCTATGTGTATTGCTTTATTATTCGGAATTGTTATCAGTGTATTTAATTAGTTCATTCCCCACATGCTTTGGAAATAAACAATTAAATGTTTACAGACTTTCCTACCATGCACACTAGATGTTGTATGTCTCAAAGGATTGCATCAAATCTGCCTCAAGTATGCCTGGCATCAAGCTCTCTGCTAAATGTTAGATACAGTATGTGTAATGTGACCAGACTGGAGTCAGTAAAAATTACCTTCACTGACCTTGGTTACTGCAGCTGTATGTCTGGCTGTGAACGAGGTCTTGACAGGGTGATAACCTCCGTCCATTTGTCTTTCAAACCCTTCCACTACGGATATTTTTAATAAAATTTCAGATCAAACATCCATCCATCCATCTTCTACCGCTTAGTCCTTCTTCAGGGTCGCGGGGGAACCTGGAGCCAATCCCAGGGAGCATCGGGCACAAGGCGGGGTACACCCTGGACAGGGTTTCAGATCAAACAGTGAAGACATATGTGGCAAAAATATACTTTAAACATTCATATCTTTGTTCATATCACCAGTCATTTTATTAGGAACACCTGTATACAGCAGCTCAGGAACCTCATATTATATAAAATCACACCTTTTCTTTACTTTAACAAAAAAAAAAATCTGAATCCCACTTTAGCTTATATCTATATCTCTTCTTCTTCTGACCTCGATCACGTTTTCTGACATTACTCCAAAACTTGAGACCTCTTCTACTATTCTAACTAAAGACTTCTTTCCTGCACAATGTACTAGTCCCAGATTGTGGACCAACACTGACTACGTTTACATGGACAGCAATAATGTAATTATTGACCTTATTCTGAATAAGACAATATTGTGATTAAGGTGTGTACATGTCTATAATTCACTTCTATACTGCAACTAAAACAGGAATTGTCCACACGTCTTAATTCGATTTGCGTTTATTTCGAGTATGATTTTAATCGGATTAAGGTAATCAATAATCACTGTTTACATAGTAGTTTCTTAATCAGAGTATCGTCTGAATCGGGTTAATATCGGATTATTGTTGTCCATGTAAACGTACTTATTGAATCAGTGTTACTGCATCAACCAAACTATTATTGAAAAAAAAAATCAATATTTGTTCGACTAGAGGGAATGCTGACAAAATTTCATGGAAATTCACCCAATTGATTGATTGGTTGTGTTGAATGAGGGACAGATGGATTGACATCTAAGCCCGACCAGTGGGGAAATAAAGCTCACCAAAAATCAACGATTCACTGTTTGTCTTTTCAACACTGAAAATCAATGAGTTATCAACATTTGATTCAAAATTATTTAGCATTGAATAATCAACCTCAGCCAAAATGAAGATTCTGACTTCAACATTGAATCAATGTCACCTTGCTATCTGGGGTCTTAAAGTTCTTTTTAATGAGTCTTTTTCAGTTGGTGATGACTATAAATATTCTGTGGTTTCTTTTAATGTGGAGCAAACATCTGGCTTAAACCTTTTAGATGTTTTTCTTCTCCAAAAACGTATAGCACATCTGTCATATCTAATCCTTTCTACAATAACCATTATTTTCATAAACTGACTTATTTCTGACCATTGCATAGCACAGAGACTGCCCTGCTTAAAGTAATGAATCATTAACTTGTTTTAGCTGACGATCAAGAGATCGTCAATGAAGCTCTCAATATTTGCACTTTTATTATAAGTGTGCAACAATTCTTTTACCGGGGCTCAGTGAACTGGTCATTATTGACACCATCACTGCTAAACATAGCTTACACTTTGTGGTCAGTAAGCTAGTGTCAAGCTGAAGTATTCTTCAGCCATCAACTACTGTTTGTTTTCACTAAGCACCACTTTGATCCTGATTCTTAAGAATGAAACATATATTTAGTGATCACTGTATGTGTGTGTGTGTGTGTGTGTGTGTGTGTGTGTTTAGAAATATAGTCATAAGAAATATAGTCATAAGTCATAAATCTTATGACTGTATTTCTGAAATCATATATTATTTATTAGTGTTTGGCAATCAAACAAGCACATGGGAATACTCACTAGGTCCAAAGGAAGCAACCCTGGCTTTCCTTCCTCTTATTAAAATCAATTAAATACATTACCTTAAAATCTTTGGAACCAGTTCATATGAGAATGACCTTAGTAGTATTATTTATCATCATACCTCACTGGCTTTGATTGTGTGTCAGACACTTTGTCACAGTGGACATCTGAGATAACATAGACATAACAAGGGTCTCTCCACTGAGTCCAATAGCATAGCTGTTACAGAAACACAAATAATCTCTGCTTCCATCAGAGAACAAAAGCATTTTATTGACTAGAAAATATTGTTTATTGCATGTGTTTCCATATCAGAGGAACAGGCTCGTATGTATTATTAACACACTTACCACATAAGTGGTAAAAGTGTCCCTGTGGTTTTAAACCCAATACTGCAGGGAAAGTGTATTGAAAAAAAAAACATTTTAGGAACTGACTGTCTGGCTGTATTCAATACAAAAAGCAGCAGGAATGTGGGTTTGGTGTTTTTATTATCTACAGTAATTAAGTGATCATTTTGATATTTTCCACATTTGGTAGTATTACAGCCTGAAACTGAAACAAACTTATTTGGGATTATCAGTTTATTTTAACAATATAAGTCTAACAGTTGGAAATTATGAATTTTATTACAAAAATCTTCTGGGCTATCTTTCTATGCACATCTGTATCCTGATATTTGTTTCAAGCTCAAGCACTGTCAGATTGCATGAAGATAGGAGAATCTGCCACAGATTATCAATAGGATTCAGATCTGGGTTTTGACTGGACATTTTAAAACAGGTCCTGGGGTTTGAACCACTCCAACCACTCCAATTGCAGTACGACAATTTTAGAGTCGTAGTCTTGTTGGAAGGTGAACATCCACACCAGTCTCAAGTCTCTTGTGGACTGGAACAGATTTTCTTCTAGGATTGTCCTGTGTTTGGTTCCACCCATTTTACACTCAACCTTGACTAATTCCCAGTCCCTACATGATACTTCCACCAACATGCTTCACTGTGGGTATGGTTTTCTCAGGGTGATGAACAGTGCTGGGTTTCTGGTGAATGTGGTGCTGTGTGTTTAAGGCCAATAAAATTTCATCTCATCAGACCAGAGAATGTTTCTTCCACATTTGCTGAGTCTCCAACATTGGATTTCATGTTTTTTTCAATAATGGATTTCTTCAGATAACTCTTCCATAAAGCCCAGCTTTGTGGTGTGTGTGTGTGTGTGTGTGTGTGTGCTAGGCTGATCCTGAGAATGTCCTTCTCCCATGTGAGGTGCAAATCTCTCCAACTCCTTGAGAGTTATTGTTGGCATCTTGTTTACTAATGTCTAATGACTAATGTCATCCTTAACCTGTCTCTGATTTTTACTGGATGGCCAACTCTAGTTGTGGTAGTGCAATATTCTTTCAGGTTTTTTTTTAAGTAATGGATTTAATGATGTTCTGTGGCATGTTCAAAGTTTATATATATATATATGCACCAAACTTTGAACATGCCACACAACATCATTAAATCCATTACTGAAAAAAAACCCTAGAAAAAAAAAAAAAAATATATATATATATATATATATATATATATATATATATATATATATATATATATATATATATATATATATATATATATACTTATTTTGATAGATCATTGGCCTTCAGGTGGCTGTTTCTTTAAGTGTATTGTATATGAACAAAACAGGTGGTCCAGGTGAAACATGGACTGCAGCACAGTCTTAGTATTTCGGAATGTCATGGTGTAAATGTTGGTAGTACAATTAAATTGTGAGGAATAATCACAGTTAATAAGTGTTACATTTCCTTTTGCCTTGTAATTTATTGATAATGCATTAGCTTTTCAGGTTAATAAATGACAACCCTCAGAATTAACTCTACTGAAAATAAAACAGAGCTGCCCTGCTATGCACTAATGCAACCAATGCGAGCTTAAAGCGAATTTGAATTATGTGAATCTTTGGATACTACTTTTTTCTAATTGTGGTTGCAACTTGAATAGCCGTCATCTTGAATTGTATGTTGATCATTCAATATACATGTCCAAAATGTCCCCTTGCCACCAAGT